ACGCCCCCAGCCACACCCAGATGGAAACCAAGTCGGCCCAGTACACAGTGGCTAATCTGACTGGGAGAGAGGGGAAAGCAAGAGCCCATGTTTACCAGTTCCCCTCAAGTCACCATTCTGCAGATGCTTTCAGCTGGTTCTGCACTGTTGGAAGACACCAGCATAAAAATAAAGCACCTTTTAAAGTCACTTCGTCCACCTTCAGATCTGTCACAGTTGTCTGCAGATGCACATTACGCGGTATTTCCTTCTCACAGGACAGGATAGTTGCTGACTTCTAGGCCTCTGGCATTGGGCATTCAGTGGTAAGTTCATCCTATCCTTGCTTCATTTTCAGTCTCATGAAAACCAATGATTTCTTATTGCTGTCACAGTGACAAATTAAAGCAGAATGATACCAATGATAACCAGTGAAGTATCAAGATGATCCATTATATTTGGGATTAAATATCATGACTGATCACTGCCATACTTTAAAATTTCCCTTTATTCAGCATTAGATAGCATAACAATGGCTCATTCAACACCAGCACCTCGCTGAAGGATTTCTTCAGGTTTCAGGGCAATTCCATTATCAGGGGTGTTGATTAAGCATTAATGGTGTGTGGCCCTTCAGTATATGAGCCACAGTCATAATTACAGCTCCCACCTGATCATTAGCATGGAGGGTTTTAGCACAAGGGTCAGAAAAGGGCATGCTCTGTGTGTCAGCAAATTTTTGTGCCAAATATGCGGGCACTTGAATGAGATATCTCAAGTTACATTTATTTTCCAACAAGGATGCATGCATGGTATGTCATTGGCTAGCAAATGTTGTCTTCATTCCTCTGCCCAAGATGGCGGGCTCTGAAAACCAGCCATGCTGCGGATGCCATTCGGGAAGACCACAGCGTGCATACCTCCTAGAGATGCCGCACCGTGCTTTTTCCGCACAGCTCTTGTCACATTGTCCCATAGCTAGAGCCCCACACATTTCCCTTCCATCTGTGCTGCTCACTTTGGGAAATCCACTCCAGTGACAGGGTAGGGGAAGCAGTCAGTACAGGGATGGGTCAGGCAAGTCCTCCCCCGTTGGAGTTGTTGCACTTGAATTTATGGGGGATGCTGGGAGGCCAATACTCTTGGGGCCCCTGACACTGCAGAGCTGCTCAAGGAGCTGGCCTCCCCCTGCCATTTGCTAGGACAGACTCTGTGTCGGGTTGTCCCATGTGCTTTTGAAATTTAGCTCAACCAATCTTTTTAAACTACGCTAAGGGACATTTTGTGGACAGGAAGACGCTTGCCGGAGTACAGGTAGAATGGGCTCAAGTCCCTTCTGGGAAAGCTCACAATAGCTAAATTATGGAATCTGCCCACGTGCTCACCAATGGATGAAGTGATAAAGAAAATGTGTGCTCACAGTGGAGTACTATTGGTCATAAAGAGCAACAAGATAATGTCACCTGCCGGAAATGGGTGGAACTGCTGATTATCTGACTTAGAAAGATAAGTATTGGCAGCTTCCTCTCATCTATGCCACCAAAAAAGAGAGAGATGTGAAAGCAGAAGGGGCAGCACCAAAGGGGGGGAGAGAGGAAACCAGGGTGGAGCAGGGAATGGGTGGGAGGTGGAGAAGGTGTTTCAAGTGTGTTATGTGTATTGTGAAAATGTCACAATGAAACCCATTATTTTACACAGTAGCACAAATAAAAATATCTGTGCCTGGGTGTGTGGGACAAGAGGAGAACTGCAGTTCCAGTGCCAGTTTGCACAAGTGGAGGAGAGCTGCTAACCTGCAGGAACTCAAAAGAGGATGGTCAGGGACAGAGGAGGAGCTGCTGGTGGGCAGGAGCCAGGCTCAGCGGCCTGGTCAGGGAAAAGAGATAAGAAGATGCACGACACCTTTTCACAGGGCTTCCCGAGGCTGGCCTCAGCCAGAGTACACCAAAGACAGCCTCTCCTCTGGTCCCCACAATGCTACTTGGGGTATGAGGTCACAGTGTGGCTTTGAGTCATTGCTTCTAACGTTTCCCCACCTGCGACCACTGCAGGTGTAAGCAGGGGTGAGAAACCACAGTGACAAGTGAAGAGCTGATCCTTCCCCCCGCTCTGCCACAGGACATTTTGCGGCCTGTTCACCAGAAAGGCACTTGGGATGGAAGGCAGTGTCAGTATGAAACGAAGGAGGGGGAGCAGGTTTAAACTGGCTGACCAAGTTTGCTGCCCTCTCATAATGTACGCTCAGGAGGGTAGGAAAGGAATGCATTTCGTGGTAGAAGTGGAAGAGACAGCCGAGAGAAAGGAGCTGCTGCAAACTGATTTCTTGCAGAGACTGACAACTGACAAAGCCCAGAAGTGGGTAATAGCTAAAATTTGGAAATAACCCAACTGCCCATCAACTGGAGAGTGGATAAAAAAGATCTGGTTTTTTAATAAAATGGAGTACTACTCAGCCATAAAGAATGAAAAACTAGAGATGTGTATAGCTAAGTGGATGCACACTGAGGCCATACTCTTAAGTGAAATTAATAAGACACATGTGTGTAAATATCAAATAGTTTCTCTGGTGTGAAAAACTAAAAGGAAAAATAAGGATCAAAATGTATAATTG